TTTTCAGTTTTGAAGTTTTTTAGGAAAAAAGTGCAAAGTGTTCTTTGAGTTTGGGCGCAGCTTTCTTCTCCTTTTCATTAGGGTTGTGTTCTTGCATATATGTGGAATCATTCTAGGTCAAAAACAAAGCCCATGATCCATGTATTCAATGCTTTTGAATTTGTGATTTTCAAGCATCTTTTTCAATCTTTTTCATACCTTTCTCATGTCAATCATTGAAGATTCTTTCCTTTTGAGGGATGCACGAAATATTGAGGCCTTAATGAGAGAATATGCTGCATAAAAAGATTTGGAAAACATGATTTGCTATTTTTGTCATATTTTATTTTAATTAATTGAATTAATAATAATAAAAATTCAAATAATTAATAAAAAATGATGAAATAACTCCCCTTTGGGTCAATGGGTCGTGCATAGCTTTTGGGTGATGATTCTTGGAAGAAATTGAGGCCCATTAGCAATTTTGAGGCATTTGAAGCAAAGTTGACTTTTCAAAATTCCCAAAAATTTCCCAACTTCCACAAGGCATATCTTGCTCAATTTTTAAGCTTTGATCATGTTTTTGGACATTTTGGAAAGGTATTGAAGTCCTCTAACCAATGCCTTTGGTCCCATGTCATTTTGATTCACCAATATCAAGTTATGGTCTTTGACTTAAAGTGCCTTTTTGTTGACTTTTGAAAATGACCTATAATGTTGAGATTGATAACTTTTTGTGAGAGCATTTCTTGGACTTGAAGTGTGAAGAGGAGTTGTAGGAAATGTCATTCTCTTAAAAATGAGCTTTGGATGGAATTTTTCTGATAAACCATGTGGAAGTTATGCCCTGGTCAATTTGCAATTGACTTTTTCAACTGTCCAAATATAGAAACTTTGGCATCTTGAGACTTTTTGAGCCATGCTTTGAGAATCATGATCAAGAATTGATCAAATGATGTTTGTGGCTTGAAAATAAGATGTTGACCAAAATTTTTGACTTTTGACTGTCAAATGACCATTTTGCCCCTGTAGTTGACTGTTGGGCAATTAGGGTTTTTGACTGTGCAATTTTGTGCTGTGAGTCTTGAAACTTGGCATGAGGATACTTGACAATGTTTATAGGCATGTGGGACTTGTTTGGACCCTTGGAAACTTCAATTTCTTTGCCAGAACCAAAACCCTAATTTTTGACTGTTAGGAGACCATTGGACTGTGCAACCTTTGGGAGATTTTGAAGCATGCTCTTAGAAAATCTTGAAGAAAATGGGAGGGCAAATTTTGGGGTACAACACATGGCTCCTATGGTACTGACAGTACTTGCTCTTGTCTGCTTCGGCCTTGGCGGGAGCAGGTCGGGGGCGTTTGACGCCGCCGTCTTTAAAGTCCGTGCTGACACACTCCGCCAAAATGCGCTCGCGGGAAGCTGTGAGCGGAGTGTATTCGGTAAAACGCCCCGAGGGTCCTCTTTGATCTCGGACTTCTCGGGGTCTGTCCTCTTTTCTTTTCTCCCCGGTTCGTCGAAGAGGAGCAGCTTCTTGGCGCGGGTTGCTGCTGGATCCGCAAGTCCTGGGGTCCCGGGCTCTGTTGGCCGCCTCCCTTTCCTCGTAATCCATATACGCCCGGGCCTTCTCGAGGAGGGCATCGAATGTTCTAGGTGGCTCGATGCCCACTGCCTTTCTGAATTCTGTGCCAGGGAGGAGCCCCATCTCCAGCAAGTATCTTTTCATGTGGTCCGCGCAGGAGACCTGTATGGCTTCGCGATTAAAGCGATTAATAAACTCTCTTAAGGTTTCATCCTGTCTCTGGATGATGGCCTCGAGAGCCGCCTCGGTCTTTGGGTGTCGTCGAGACGCGGTGAACGAACTTATGAATTGGTTCTTCAGGTTTCGCCACGAGGTGATTGATCCCGGAGCGAGGCCTTTATACCAATCCATTGCTGTCTTTCTGAGGGTCGTGGGGAACAGTCGACACTTGATGGGTCCCCCGACATTGTGGTAGTGCAGCATAGCCTCGAACCCGTCTATATGGTCGACCGGGTCCGCGACTCCGTCGTATTCCTTCAGATGTGGAGGCTTCTCCATGCCGGGGGGAATGGGCGCCTCCATGATGGCTTGTGACAGGGGACCGCGGGAGTCGTCCTCGTGACTTCGCTTCGGGGACAGGGATGGGGACCTGTAATACTGTCGTGCCCGACGGTCCTGGTCGTGCTGGGCATCTCTCGAGTGTGGTGCTCGTTGATCAATTCTTCCATGCCTGTCTCCGGAGTGTCTTCTCTCTTGCCGTAAGGGGGCATGGCCGCGCCCTCCGACCTCAATGACGGGTTGCCTCTCCAAAGGGGGTCGTCTCCCCGAGGGTCGGGGCGACAGGCTTCGGGAGGCGTCTCTGTATTGTCTCCGCGGGGGAGACAGGAGATGTACCTCTGTTACTCGAGGAGGTGGAGTCTGGGGCCTCCTGTGCCTCCTCGGGTCTTCGATCGTCTTCTAGTGCCCTCAATCTTTCCCCTTAGGTGAAGATAAGGTAATTCGTTTGATTAATCGCCGCGAATAGTGCGCGGGTTGTGACATCTGCCCCGGCAGGGACGGGACTTTCTGAAATTGGGCAGCTCGATGGTTTTGGGGAGCTGCATTGTCATCTTCGAGTGGCGGAGGGATTGAGGAGGATGAGGCAGTAGCTCCGTCGCGGTGGATCGAGGGCCCGGGGATGGTTCCCCCGGGGAGTGTGTTATGACCGGGTTTACCGGTGTTGTTGGGGACTCCATTTTTATCTGCGAGGCCGTTGTTGGTGTCGATGACATGGATGTTTTGGTCATCACGAACTTGGTCAGCCATGACGGTAGGAGGTGATTTGAGCTTTGGTCTTCGAGGTTTTGCAAGACGGAGGAGCTAGATTCCCACAGACGGCGCCACTGATCCGACCTGATCAGACTTGGACCGTCACGACTGACTCCGAGCAGAAGTTGAGTGAGATAGGGGGGTACCTGCAAGGCACTCTGATGCTAAAGTGAGTGATGGTACGGGCATGCAAAAAGTGTATGTATGGGTAAGAGAATGAATACCTGACCCTCTAGGAACATATGATATTTATAGCCTCCAGCGCGGGGCCAAGGTCCCTTCATTGAGCCGACCAGGACTGACCCAATAAAGGAACTGCCAGGTTCTACGTGTGTAGTGGAGACCCGCACGTGGTCTCATTCCTGATGATGATCTGCGAGAAATGAGGAGGGACGAGGACGCGGTCTTTCCAGAGTTCAGGTGATTTGGTAACGGTCAGAGTCTGCCCTACGAGGAGGGTGCTCGAGCTGGACTCGAGCTGGAGTTCACGTGGTCGAGGACAACATGTTCGCGGGCAACGGCGGGCACGGTTGCAGTTTCTGGTCGGCGCGCTGGCAGAAATCCTCGGGCGCGCGCTCCTTGAAGAATTGCTTGGATTGAGCCTTCGTTCTTACTCTTGGGCCAGGGCGGACCCAATCCAGAACAAAATTAAAAATAAAATTAAAAAGAATGTAAATATTAAATATATTTAGACATTTTTTTAAAAATAAGCTTTTTTTTATAAAGTTGTTAATATATGAGATCAAAGATAGGATAACTTTAAAATGGTTTAGATAGAGTGTAATCGATTTGATTTTAACCAGATTTTTATCTAAAACGTGTCTGCTATCAATTTGATGTTATTCGATTTTTAATATTTTTTAAAAATAGAATCCAATCAAATTAACTGATTTAATTTAATTTGAATTAATTTAATTGATCAATTTACAATATTTTTTTCAATTATTATTTTTTTAAACATTATTATTTTAAACATTATTTATCAATATATTTTTTTAAGTATTATTATTTTAAACATTATTTTTATTGAAGAAGAAAAAACAAATAAGATAAAAAAAACAATGAAAACTAAAAAAACTTAAACACGAAGAAACCAATAGCATTTCAGTAAACGCAAGTTTTTATATTTATAATCTGGAATATAAGAGACAATTTTTTTTTTTGATTTTCTTAAATATAAAGAAAAATCACCTATAATTATTAGATTAATTTCATATTTCTGTTTTTAACAATTTTCAAAACAAAATAAAGATAAAATTAAAAAGAATGTAAATCTTAAATGTATGTTTTTTTAAAGGAAGAAAACGTAAATAAAAAATGGATATAAAACTGAAAACCAAATCAAACCAAATCAAACCACATCGATTTTGTTGATTCGATTTATTTTGGAACCGACCAGAATAATCAATTTTTTCAGTTTGATTTGGTATGGTATTGATTTTCGATTCAGTTGATTTTTCCTGCTTTCGTTACACTCCTACTTAAAGGTAAGTACCATGCGCCTAGCAGCCGATTTACTAATAAAAGAGTTTGATATGTTCGTTTTTTCTTCAAGTTAATATAACAGAAAAATTATGTTCAAGGAAAACCAAGGTTATGTTATTTCCGTATTATCTTAATTATATTTTCATTTAAAAATAGCATAGTTGCCTATTCTACAGAAAAACCAAGGCTGCTGAAAGAGGAAGTATCGACTGTCCCTTGAGAAAGAGGCAAAAGCCCAAAAACCACTAACAAGAGCCTCACTTTTGGCTAGCCAACACCAAAATGAAATCCTCACCCTCTCCCAAACTATTAGTCCGATCAAGAATAGAACAAAGACACCCTTTACCAAGTGACAATAAAAAGTGTTGAGACAGACATACAAGAAAAAAAAATCATAAGATGCAAAATTAAAGTTCAAGAATTACGACGCACAGTTAAGAACATGTCCTTAAACCTATCAAAATAAAAAACAAGATACAAAAGAGAATTCCAGGTACAGACACTGGTCTTGACCTGAGACATATTCCAGACAACCACAACATTCTTGCAAGGGTCCGTGCCCATAACATTCCGCTCGACTTCAAGATTCAAGATTCAAGATTCAGAAAGAAAATTTGCTCTAACGTATCATACTACAGGCTACAGCACACCTTATTCTACATTTTACATACAAAAGTAAATGGACTCTCATCTCATGTCCTATTTTTACTCAATATTGACTCTAACAATTTTCTTTGCTCTTCCCTCTGAGGAGTTTCCTTTTTCAAAATTTGATGCAAATCCTCTTGCTTTACTATCCTGCTCCAGAAATGGAAGTGACCATACCTTGTGTTTGTTTATCTCACCAAGTCTAAAATCTACATTATTTAATTAAATTGAACATGAAAATTCAGCACTGAAAAACAATGATTATGTATATGGAACAGAAAAAAGTAAACATACATGAAAACAGATTTATGTTTTTTCTTATAATGAAGTTGCATAGAAGAATTAAAAAACAAAACAGCATAATGTCTTTGAAACTACCTAAGAACACCAACACATTCAAACAACTTACCTTTCTTCCTATGCACATCATAATCGGGTAACCGCCCTCGATTATTTCCTTTCCATGTTTCCTCAAAGCGTGCAAGCTCATCTAACAAATAAGTTTATCATTATTCAATAAATTTTTTGTCTTTACTACTTGAAATGATGTGAAACACGTGTCGATAATGACAAAGACAATAGCGACAAACCTTCATTAAGATTGTGCAACATCTGTGTCGTATTAACCTTCCCATCTGAATCAAACTTGCGCAAAACTGAATGACCCTACATACATATTACAAGATATTAGGGAAAATCTATTGATAACAATGTTGCAATGCTACATAGCTTCAGGGTCAATCCCTGCTACTAATAAACTCTCCCTCTTCCTAACAATTTTATTCTGGAAGCTTGGTATCCAACTTTGAGACCGACTAATCCAAGGAACCAATGTCACCGTCCACTAGCGGGAGTTCCATTTAAAGCCAGAACAAAGTTCTATATGGAATATCTCAACCCAGGGAGTGTTAGCACATAAAGAAATTCGAACACAAGACCTTGAAAAGATCGCAAGTCTTCACCAACATGCTAACCCCTGGGATTCCCTCTTCCTAACAAGTCAACTACTAACACCAACATTTTCTTTCAACCAAGGCAGAAGTGAATTCTTAGACATATTACATATAGTTAGTTACATTACATACCTTATCATGGACTCCTCTTGTGATTCTATGTGTTGCTTCACCTCTTGAGGTGTCAGCTTCTTTGCTTTCCTCTATCACCATCTGATCCAATCATATCATACAGATGATCTTATAGTAAAAAAGTAACTTTCAAAACATTTAAGACCGAGTCTAAAGTGAAAAGTCACAACACATACCCCATCAGATCCCGTCTTTCTGGTTCGGGTAGAAGTATAATAAGCACCACTTATACCACCATATGTTACTCTACTAGTCTTAAAAGACATATTGCAATTGTGACTCTTAGAGGGTTCTTCTGATTTGCGATGATCATTCTCGTATGTTACACCATTGGTTTGCATCTCTACTAGTATTCACACGAATAAGAACATAATTTGACAAAGAAAATATGAAAAACGAGTTCAAGAACAGTTTATAAGCTTATAAAAATACGTTAATTTCATAAACTCTCTCAAAACGACTATTCAAAATGCTAATGTCAATAGATAAACTCAAATAAACCAATTCGAACATACACAAAATAATAGACCAATAACATTACCATCATCAACGTCATCATCTGGATGCTCAACAAATGGCTCCATTGGTGACCGATAAATTTTCTCGTTAAAATTATCAACACCCTCATCATCAGAGTCTAATTCTTTTATAACAACTCCTTTTTCTCTGTTAGTCTTCAGCATTGATCTCGACGAAGCAGAACTTGGACTCCACATATTATCAAATGGATCGGTGAAAAAAGGATCATCAAATGGATCCCTTCCTCCAAAAAAACTAGGCATCGTCATAATTCTGTGGAAACCAGAACCACCAAAGTCTCTAACCCCTCTTGATTTAAAAACATTATCTTGAACTTCTCTACCCTTATGCATATTCTTTATCTAATCCTCACAAAACAAAACCAAACAAAGTTTCAAATAAAAACATGATAAATCATAATAAAAATTCTAGAAACAGATTCATTCTTTAGCCATTCAACAACTTTTAAAGGATTTAAAGCCGTAAAACATACTAAGCTATTGAGCATTAAGCAAAACTTGATCACATGATTCTTAAATAAAGACCCCGATAATAGCATCAAAACCATGATCTAATAGGTCATATAAACGTTTTTGATATCATCAAAAACTCCACAATCTAATAGGTGACACTATTTTTGATGCTATCAAAAACTCAAATAAGAGTAAATCACTATTTTGTACCTTAAACTTTATTCCCCTAAGTGGTGTTAGCTAGATCAGTCAAATGATACTATAAAGTATTTTTTTGAAAGTTTGGTATTCTGCTTGCGACCGATTAACCTAAATGAATCAATCATATTGTCCAATTACAGAGCCCTTTTTAAAATTATATGAACTTGACCCAACACAGAAATTATTAACACCTAACAGAATTTAAACCTGAGAAATTATTAACACCTAACAGAATTTAAACCTGAGACCGTGAGAGAAACACACTCTCAAGACCCAAAATTTTCCCAATAAGCCAACCCCTAAGTTACTTTGAAGTTATATTAAATATTATATTTCTATCCAACTCATTAGTATAGAAATATTTTTTTGATAATTTCCCTGATAGATTTATAAGGGCTCTTCTACTCTAAAAGTTTGAGGTCCTTCTATCTCATCTATACTCCTTAGTGTGAAATTCAAATTCAATTCAAGAATTAATTATCTTCTCTTTTCTAATATAGATGTTACTCCAGGAAAGGAGTTCAAAACTTGTATTTTTATGTGTATTGATCTTGTTATCATAACCCTAAAACCAATTAGGGTTGATGAAGAGCATGAGCATAAAAATTTAGGTTTTTAACCAATATCAAACTTATAATTAAAATTTCTTATAAACATGCAATTAGGATAAATAATTTCATGACTCAATATGATGGTTTCCTTTCCTCCCTCAAATAACTATGATTAAAATCACATACTATATATTTACTCAATTATCTTCAATATCAAGAATCACAATAAAATTGTTAAATTAACAGATTTCAATAACTATATCCAAGAAAAACTAACATGAAATATTCAAGTGAAAGAACTTGTTTATGCAGGTGGTGAATTGGATAAAATTAATTACCTGAGATGAAAATCCAAATGAGAGAAAAGAAGGTTGAAGAAGAACAAAATCACAGCCTAAAGAAATGGGATTAGTTTGGTTTAGAAATAGAAGAGGAAGCTATTTATGTGTTAGAAACTGTGATCAGAGAGAATGACACGTGGATTATGTTTTTCTGTTTTATTTTATGGATGCCACTAGAACCTTCAGGCTCTTGCGCGCTCTTTCTTTCTTTTGCATTAACATATTGCACATAATTAATATTTACACCTAGAATAAGACCCGAGGGTGTAGGTTAAATTTAATTTTTTATTGAAAACTAGATATATCTGAAGCGTGTTGCACGGAATTTATTTAAATTTTTATTTTAAATATTATTTCAAATATTTTATTAAACATAATTTATATTCATTATAATACAGTGGAAAAACTGACTTTTGATTTTACGTTTTATGCAAATGTTGCGGATAACAAGAGTCGCCACTGACTTTTCTTTTATCCAATAAAAAAAATGGTGAAAAGAATGGAAAAGACCTTTGAGAATTTTTTTGAGTAAGGGGAATAGGTTATGAAAAGGGAAGGTGTTAACACATTTTTTATTCGTAGTTCTCTACGGGCTTTTAATCGCTAGCTCACATTGAAAATGCTTTGTGAATGTGTGTTTGAAAATATTTTGAAAATGCCTAAGTGCGACAAACTTTGTAATGATTCTTGTATCGTTGAGAACGCATATGTTGTACCCTTTCATTTCTCAAGGCATTTTCTCACAGGGATTTTCAAAAGCTCAAAGTTTGCACAAGCACAAAGCAGACAAAAAGGGAAAAACAGATAAAAAATGATTTTTTTGACAAAATTGAAGAAAAGCAAGCTTGCTTCGACTCATTCATCCTTCGACTGAACATTCTGGCTTCTTCGAGCAAGCCTTGATTCACACGCTTCAATTGAATATTTGGTTTTCCTTCGAGCAAGCTTTTCACAAGCTTCGATTAAGCATATGGCCCTCTACATGCTTGCTTTGATTAACAAAGCATGTGGCCTCTTGCACGCAAGCTTCAATTCAGGGAGCAATGACCTCCTGCAGGCAAGCTTCGATTGGGCAAAGATTACCTTCTCACAAAGCTTCGATTGGAGTATGGTTTCCTTTCAAAACAACATACGTCGAATCCAACTTTGGACCCCTTCATGCATCATTTGGTCCACAAATTTCATTCAAGTAGTGGCCTCCTACATGCTGGCTTCGAATCAATCTTTAAGCTTATTTCAAATCCATTTTTATGCAACCTTTAAATCCTCCTACAAACTTGCACGCACAAGGAAGGGGTTTCTCTCACGCTAGCACCCACACAGCAATTATTCCCTTTTAAATTGCTTCGAATACACCTTCATATCACCTTCGAATCCACCTTCAGGATTGTTTTGAATCACCTTCATATAACCTTCGAATGCAACTGCAGACCTTTCAACACACATAGCGCTGCATTATGACACACAACTTGGTGGCCCATTCGAAAGACTTGCCATGGTTGGGAAACAATTGGTTTTTGTTTACTTTTGAGTCTGGTCGAAGGGTTAGGCCTAAGGGATCAAAAGCAAGAAGACTCAGTGGCATATTCAGCTGAAGAGGACCATTCGAAGAACACACAGTTGGTCCATTCGAAGGACACAAAACTGGTGGAAACGAATGCTGCTTTGTTAAGTCTGGTCGAAGGCTATTGAAAGATGAAGGATTCGATTCAAAGAGTCAAGTTGTCCATAGGTCAGGCTACATAGGCCTCCAACTTGTGCCTCACTCCATATTTAATTGTTCTCCAAGTCAACTTGCTCTTAATGACATCATTACCTTTTTAGAAAGTTCTTGAGCCTTGTGCATGCTTCTTCTGCACACTTGCCCCCTATAAACTAGGAGTCATCCATCTCAAACATTTATTTTAGTACTTTTATCTTGGGATTATAAAAAGTTGACACAAGTGGATGTTGGCCTTTCAAAGAAACTATATTTTATTCCTTCACAAAGCTGCTCATTCAAAAAAATTTCTCTATAAATAGAGAGTTCATTTGCACATCAAAGGGGCTGAAAAAGAAAAAGAAAGAAGAAGAACGCTGAAGAAGATTTTGGATGAGTGGAAAGAATCTTCAAAAACTCTCAAAACTCTCAAACATTTAATACTCTCCCAAACCCAGAACTTAAAGAAACACCACACTTGTTTCTTTAAAATCCAGAAATAAACAAACACAAATCAACCTTTCTTGGTTTTCGAATCTATCCAAAGAAACACCACGTTTGTTTCTTCCCCTTCGAATCCAAGAAAGCCCAGGGAAACAACTCAAGTCCAAGACCCACATTTCAGCTTCAAGCAAGGTAAGTCCTATTTACCTTAACCTTTCGTTTCAAGCATTACATGTGAATAGCCATTTCTTTTAGTTTCAAGCATTATCGTTACTCTTTGGCTTTGTTTTCGTTTTCACCTCTGTTTGTTTTCTTTGCCAATCTTTTGTTTTGTTTTATTCGTTTACCAAACATATTTTAAGAATTAATCTGGCCATGAACTAATGTTAGCATGGCCTCAACTCATGCTGCTTCTTAGTCCCCAAACGAAAGAAAACAGGAAGAAGGTTGTGTGGGTCGAAGCCTTTTAGGTTTCGCCTCATGCTGCTATCTAAAACGAAAGAGGAGTGCTCGAAAGACATATATTCATTTTGCTTTGCAGGTCCAGTCGAAGTAAGCAGAGAAAGGGGTGCGGTTGAAGTATTCATTCATTTTTGTTTTGCAGGTCCAATCGAAGTAAGCAGAGAAAAAGAGCATGATCAAAGGATACATATTCATGCTGCCTTACAGGCCCAGTCGAAAGAAGCTGGGATAGGGTGAGCCGAAGGAGCATACTGCCTGGGTCGAAGGACCCACTTTTCCTCTCTTTTATTTTGTTTTTTTATATAATATGGTTGCAATAGATTAGAATTTATTCTTTGCATCTTTTATTGCTTTCCTACATTATTAATAATTAGGATATATGGCAAGATAAAATCAACAAATAGATAACCTTTAAATTCAAGACAAAAAATGCATGCAATCAAACACACTATTCACACACATACACCTCTAGGATAATCTCACTTGTTGCCTCGGAAAATAGTTATGTCCCTCGAATATGGGCATTTTAGCAAAAGTGCATCGATAAAAAGATCATAGTCCCTCGATGTCCCTCAATGTTGCTTTTGATAAACGATCTAGTCCCTAAACAAAAAATTGCTAAAACGTCTCATAGGTTGTCTTCTATGACTATACAATTGACCCACGCCTGTCCCTTTATATCCAAAGATAAGGCTTCTTACCAATCAATGGTAAGATAGCAATATCAAAGGAAGAGAGAAATGAACAAAAGACTTTTGAGTAAGGTAGAACGTTCTTAGTTTCTTACTCACAATCTATTCTCAAAAAACAAAACATTTTTCAAACACACCAAACATTTTCAAAAACATGAAATATTTTCAAAAAGTCCAACACTTTGTATACATTCTTATAGAGACGAGAATCATTACAAAGTTTGCCAAAACGAAGACGTTTTTCAAAAATACTTTCAAAATCCACCACAAACACATTTTCAAATAAAACAAGTGATCTAGCAAGCAACTAAGAGCCCGTAGATAACTACGGATGAAAAGGGTGCTAATACCTTCCCTTTTCATAACCTACCCCCCAAACTCAAGAAAACATCTCAAAGGTCTTTCCTGTTCTTTTCATCTTTTTCTTATTGGATAAAAGAAAAGTCGGTGGTGACTCTTGCTATCCGCAACAATTGCGATCAAACGCAAA